GAGAGAGAGAGAGAGAGAGAGAGAGAGAGAGAGAGAGAGAGGAAGAGAGAGAGAGAGAGAGAGAGAGAGAAGAGAGAGAGAGAGAGAGAGAGAGAGAGAGAGAGAGAGAGAGAGGAGAGAGAGAGAGAGAGAGAGAGAGAGAGAAGAGAAGAGAAGAGACAGGCACAAGCAGCCAGAGCGGGAGATGCAGCGTCTGAGACCCCATCTCCGCACACTGTTGATGTCAGACGCAATACACTGAAATTTGCTGACAGTTTTGCAATTTACAAAACTGCGCAAAGTGGGAACTAGATGTGTGTCAACTTTCCGACAGATAACGTTTGTTATTTGCGATTGTTATAAAAGACAACAGGCAAGTTTCTGTGCGTTTTCCATAAGCGCGCGGTGTGTGTGCTGTGTTGTGTGTGTGTCTGTGTGTGTGTGTGTGGGAGGGAGTAGTGTGAGTGAGGTGAGTGAGGGAGTGTTGTGTGTTCGTGTGTGTGTGGGGGGGGTTAGTGTGAGTGGAAAAAGTTGTATGTCTGTGTTGTGTGTGGTGTGTGTGTGTGTTGTGTGTATGTGTGTGTGTGTGGTGGGGGGTTAGTGATAAAAGTGTGAGTAAGTGAGGGAGTGTGTGTGTTTGTGTGTTATCTATGTGTGTGTGGGGGGGGGTAGTGATAAAAAATGAGTGAGGAGTTGGGAGTGTGTGTGTGGTTTTGTTGTGTCTGTGTGTGTTATGTGTTTCGTGTGTTGTTTTCATAAATACTTATCGTCTGACTCAATTAAACCATTCTTATCAACAATTATTTCATCACCTCAGGTCATTTAACAGTATAGGTCCTGTTATCAAATTAAACTTTCTTTCTCCCTCTGCAAAAAAGATAACTCTTACTTCCTTGATAATAAATAAATAAAAAAATAGAATAAGAATAAGAATAAAAAAAGAGAGATGAATAGTTAAACTGAAAATAAATATTCATAGAATTGCGAAACTAGCTTAGTGCAGGGGATATTCCAATAGACAAAAAAATATATAAACAGAGGATAAGAAAAAAAAAAAAAGATAAAAAAGAGATAGATGAATAAAGGAATTTCCTTTTGATTGGATTATCCTCAACAGCTGATGTAAACGAACAGGAAATAGGGGTATCTTTTGCGCTTTCCTATAATCACGTTATCTTCCGAGAGAGGATAGATAACGATTGGGTATATATGCTTCTTTTATGTCTTTTGATATGGTGATTCTTGCCCTGTCAGTTGTAACTTTAAGCAGCCATTACTCTTTCAAGTCCTAGGAACTTGACAGGAATTAACCTTTCGTATTGTCATAAGGTAAATGAGCACAAACAGGTTCTCGCCAAACAAATATATATTGATAATTTTAAACTGATTCATCATTCACTTCATTATCCCTTTTTGCAATTTCGCTTAACACTGAAAATTATTCAATCACCAGATAAGGTTTCCAATTCTTATTCATTGTTAAGAGTGAGGTTGTTCATGGATTATTGTTTTCCAATATTTTCGGTCTTATTATCCTAAGGAGGTTGTCATTTATTACCAACATACCCTAGCGTCATCGCTCGACCAATTTGCATGGGCATAAATATTTGTCTTGATTTTCGACCGAATATTTGGGTGATTGAGGAAGGAAAATAAGTGTGGAGATGAATTTTTCTCTAAATTCGAAACGCTCGCCGCGGAAAGTAAATTTAGGACATCTGAAAAATGGAAGTCGAGGGGTGACAAACGTTAGAAAGGGATTTCTCTGCTTACATAAAATGTAGTTTTTTAATTTCCCTGCGTGCGATATCCTTTAAGCCCTCATTTTTATTTGAGGAAATCCTCCAAGATTCAAACCTAACCCCTCTTCTCTTTATTACTCAGTGGCCTTATTGCTGTTCCAATCGCTTGCTTGTTTATATCCTTACCTTGTGATCTTATTATCATCTTTATTTTGTGTTTCCTTATTATTTGATTTATCTATTTTTCCTTTCCTAGAAATACCAGAACTAAAGTTCGAATCTATTCTATTCCCCTCAATCAGAATTACCAAATCCTCATCTGCCTACTCTTACTCGTCAAAAAGTACTATAGATTCCCAGGCAAAATTTAATTGTCTGTTGTCATATATGTTTATTTTTATCATTAATCTGTTTGTTCATCATGTAGTTACTTAGAGTGCATTATTACGCAACTCCTACTTTGGCTATACGAGTGATTTGTGAATTACGATGATTTGATTAATTGGAATTCCATAATGACTAATGATTGATAATGAGCTGAGTGGATATGATTCATTGATTGATGATAAAGGTAAAAGTCTTCCTTCGAAAAATTGTGAACGAGTTAACTCTATTAAATTGCTACGTATAATTAATTTTCTATATGTATTAGTATAAATGTAGTAAATATATTTATCCTAATACTTACTATAATCCTAAATCTAATATACGTTTTATATATTATTGATTACCGATAATTATATAACCTGTGCAATAGAAATGAATATGATAATAGGTAG